CCCACACACACACATACATACACGCACGCGAAGAAAGAAATGGAGAAAAACAGGAAAAACGTTCGTGAATTTTCTATCGGGCTTTCCACCAATTTTTTCACAAGAGGGAACTCCATTCCCCCTTTTTGTGAAATAATTTACGCAAATATTTATCATAATACTTTATTCTATTCGACCAAGCGTAGCGATCGTCGCTTTCCGAGAGCGCCTCTCTGACTTTCGCTTCTCGAAAGCGAAATGCCCGCCCTTTGGAAAACGCTGCCTTAAGACGGCTTTTAGACGTGCGACTACTAGGGGACTATTTCATGCCGGAAAGTTTTCAGGACCGATAAAGTACCATCGACGTGCCGTCCCGTCATTCTCATAATTCACTTTTGGGAACGATTCGTGGACATATTGCCTTGTCGTGTTAATGATAAGTACGTGAGAAAACATTTCGAGCGATAATGCGAATTACAAGAACGCCGAATCTCTCGATAAAATTATGGTATCGTGCGAATGAAGGTCGAGAGAAATCACGAGTGGGTTAATAGATGTCCAAATATCATGAAATACTCTGTTTAATGTTCAACATGCAGTGTAATTATATATGTAATACGCATAAAAAAACAATTTTCATAGAGAAAATCAAAAGTAGTACGTATAACATGTGACAAAAAAGACGATTTAGTTAAGAAGAATTATAGAATATTACAAGAAATATTAAAATATATGTCTGCTTATATGCTGTTAAAGTATTTTAAACCGTTCTTTCCATTGAAGAACTGTAATATTTTTTATCAAGGCAGTTATAAGATTTATGCAAGGATTTTTTTTAATTAAAAAATTCTGTGTTTATCCGCGAAATCTCTTGCTTGCTGAAATTTATAATAATTCTTTTTTGAAAAAATAGATGTTGTTCTGTAAATTTCTTGAGATTTCTGTTCTATTCATGAATGGCGCGTTATATACATTTTAGATATATAACATTTTCCAACTTATCGTAATTTCCTCTTGTTCTCTCTCACATGGTCATCCGGTCCGAAATGTCCACGAATCGTCGACGCATCCGGAAGCTCCGTTGCTACCTGTCGTCCTTTCCGTCGCTGATGTCGAAACGACGGATCGAATTTCAAGTCTGCGAAGAATCGCACGCAAAACACAAAATTGTATAGAAGGACGATTGTCCGTTCGACGACAGAAATAAAAAACAATCGGGAGTAGGGGGGGGGAGGGGGGAAAGGAAAATTATTCCGACGGCGCTATTGCGTGCGTTGCCGAATATTCGAAAGGAAACGCAAAAAAAAAGTTCAATTTTTGGACACCAAGTGGAGAACGTCCACGTGATTCCATTGACGACGAGAAATAATTCGACGTGTTAGTTTCTTACGATGTTTTTATCCTGTGTACTAGATCTTTATATATACATATATATAAACATACACACACACACACACACACGTGCGCGCGCGCGCGCGCGTACACATAGAAAAACACATACACGTGCTACATCTCCCGTATAGCGTGAAACATGACGTATTTATGTGAATTTTGTCATTTTACTAAGAACGAATGTACTTGCCGTAATATAATTAAAAAGAAAAAAAAAAAGAGAAAAAAGAATTCAATCTATTATAATACCACATATATACATCTAGTTCCGGCGCATGGCGTTTTATTTCACGAGATACCGAACTTTTTCAGATTATCACGACCCAGTAAAGAATGTAATTGTAAAGTGTAATCAATAAAGAATTTTGCCTAATAAGCCCAAGAGCGTTTGTTGAGTGTCGGCTGAAATATTACCGATCACATTGCAGCTTCTCGCTAGTGCTTCCCATTTCCCGATTTGCATCACAAAAGCGAGGTGTATTTTGTTCTCATTAATTTCTTTTCGATGTTAAGCTTTAAAATAATATTTCAGGGAAATTGAAGACTGAAGATAATAAATACTAATGATCAATTGTCGATAACATCGATTTAACGGACTGGATCTAATTTAGCCATCCGATAAAAATTTAAAAATTTCATATAAACTATTTATATAAAATATTATGCGCGTGTTATTAACTACTATAATCTTTAAAAATATTACTTAATATATTCGATACAAAAGACAACAAGCAAGAGAACATCTCGCGATGACAAGAAAGCGTCACATTTCCAGATAAAAAAATAAGAAAAAAATTCAAACTTTAATGCAGACTAATTTCTTTTATTTTTCTCCTTTGCTTGTTATTGTCAATAACAAGCTGTTATTATTGATTAAGTGACCTTACCAATCAATTCGAAAACTTCAGTTTCAGTAAAGCGTGAAATAATATCGCAACGTGGAGAGAGATAATTATGAAACCACGATGTACACGTATCTTTGTCGACGTGCGAACAAAATTCCGATCGATTTCGGGCACACGGAAACGTGTTGTTGCCGATATTGCGATATCGATGTAATTCGACATTTAAAGCTGGATCCGGATTCAGATGAAGCGAATGAGCGCGAACAAACAGGCAGCAACAACTCGTTTCGCCGACGGCGATGCCGCTCGCTCTCATTGAAACAAATTGTTCGTTCGTATTTGTTCGCGCTCGCTCGCTCGCTCGCTCGCTCCGCAAACGCGGTTTTATACATATTACGACGATCGTTCGAGTGCTTCAACAAGGTAAAGCACTCGCGGCGATATTTCACATTTGTGAGGTGCGCTTTTAGACAGTAATAATCGCGAAAAATACGTGCTATCGATGTAAATATGACCAAACGGTCTGCCGCGATTTGGCGCGAGATCGAGGTAAATATGACAGAGAGAAAAAAGTCTGACGAAAAAACTAATTTCGAAATATTATTATTAAACTTATCATTTAATAAATATCAAATAATTATTTAATTTATTATTAAATAATCTATTTAATAAATCATAATAAGTAGACATGTAAAATAAAAAGTATATAAATCGTCTAATTATATTTGTCCTTGTCATTAAATCAGTTCGAAATCTATCGAATGCGACGTTGCGATTTTCGTAATATAAAAATGGCCGAAATGCTGATTTATCATAACTAAATTATTTATAAATATAAAATATTCGAAATATTCTAGTAGATATATATCAAAAATAATCAACGTAGAGTGAGTCAGTATATAAAAACTTATACGATATAAAAACTTTGAAAATTGGAAAAAAATAATAACAAGATATCGATATTGTATCGCAGATTTGTATCAATCTCAAATATTTTGACAAAGATCCGCGTTGATATTTCGAAATATTTGAAATGATAAGATAAAATGAATATTCCGAACGCAAGAAGGAAAAATACGGACGGAAAATATTAACATATGAACGTTACCCGCACTTTGATCTGACATCCCGAGAAAAGAAAGCAGACAAGATTATTCGATGAACCGCAAGTATCGAGGAGTATTTCGTCGATGCGGCAGCAGGTGGCAGCACCTGACGCGTGACGAATAACAGGTCGCGAGCGATGTATTATAAATAAAGGGTACGGAGACAGGTGATATTTTCATTTTTCGCATTCGGGCCCGAACCCTGTTTTCGCTACGTGGGTCCAAATCCGCCATACAAACCGCGCTTACATCTCGATGATGTGCTAGTATCCGTAACGGTAACAAAATCGGAATCGCCCGAACGCGAAAAGGATCGACGATCAATTGATTGCGCGGATATAACCTGCAAAACGGTACTTCCAGATGCTCTGTGTAAGACACGGGAGGAGACGCGGGGTCTCATTGCTGTTTAATCTGGTCCCGAAGGCTCTCTACTCGCGACGCAGCAGGAGCACGAGTTCCTACAAAGTCATCATCATCAAGTCCCATGGCGACTCTCTGGACGGTGGGTAACCACTTCACTTCAGCGTCAGTATTTGTCCGTGTTATTGGTAGAAGAATCAATATTACGGAGTCGTGAACTTATATTATGAATTCACTGTTTTTTTTCCAAAGTTCGCTTATGTACGTTACCTCGAATTGATTGTTTATAATTTCTATTAAGGTTATGGTTTATACAACTCATAAAGTTTATTCTTATTATTAATCTTAATTATGATTAAATATGTAGGAATAAATATTACAGAGTAATTAAATATTACAGTGTAAAAGTATTTTTATATATAACAATTGTCAGGGAATGTAAAAAATATTTAGATTATTTATAGAATGATCTTTTATTCTGTTGCAATTTGCCATTAAAGAGGTTATTTTCTGTAGTTCTGTTCTTTCTCTTTTTTTTTTTATTATTTTTTGAAAAATGTATCTTAAAAATGTATCTCTGAAAAATAAATATGTATATATAAAATAAAAAATGTATCTCTTAAAAATGTATCTCTGAAAAACAGATATTGACAACAGTGCTTTGGCTGTCAATTCAAATTGGGAGTTATTAAAGCCAAGCGGCTTTCGATTTTATCTGCCTGGAAGGGTAGGACCTGCTTGGTTAGATGCTACAACTACTGCCCAGGTTAAGACTAAATTTGTCAAAATATGCGATGACAAAGAGTTTATGGAACCTTTGAATGATAAGAATAGATATCAAAAAAATGTAGGAAACTGGAAAACCATTCGACCAATGTTAGATTGTGAGGCACAAGAATGTCCCATTCTGTTGCGAAAAAGCATAGAGGAATTGTTCCCGGGATGCTTAGATGTAACAATGTCACATCTCACTATTATAACTATTAGTCAAAAGGCAGATCTCAAGTCGATGAGATGGCGTAAGGAAGCAGAAACTGAGAAACTCGCTAAATATGTAAGCCAATATATTGCATGATAATATACTTATTTGTTAAACAGAATCTAAAAATATAGATCTCTATGATGGAAGGTGTGCATATATACATTATTAGTCTATCAGTTTGTCCTAGCAGCCTCTGAAATATGTACAAAGCTCATAATGATCGGTTATTGGGCGGACTTTATTAATCCCTTCAGTGGGCAACCTTACTGGAGTTCGCGAAAGGATGCCAGTTTATACAAGACTGATGAACGGTTTCGCTGCATAGGATTTAAAGTACAACAGAGGAACAATTGTAAAATTATTACGTCTGATAATAGTCAACAAAATTTTATTGGTATGTAAACAACCGTCTAAATACAATGCGACTATGCGTCTATAATAATGAAGATAGATCTATATTTTGATATAGACGTTATCATTAACGATAACTAGGATTAATACATTTCAACTTTTTTGCCAATTTCAGGAAGTCTTTATACCACAGCACCGGCAAGCACAAAGTT